GTTTACTTGTCATTTGTCTTGTAGTTTTTGGGAGTGCAAGCCCATTTCAAAGATTTATTGACAATACAAGTGGTTTTTTTTCCCAATGAATGCCATGAAAATTGAGCATCTCGAACAACGTAACAAACTCTTAATTAAAATAATAATAAATACAAACATCACGCCCGTTACACGCAGATTTTTTTCTTCTTTGTACGTGTCGTCAGCCCTTTTTTCACTTTCTCTCTCCCTCTCTCTCTCTCTCTCTCTCTCTCTCTCTCTCTCTCTCTGCATATATGATTCATTGCAGGGGATTTATTACGGCGAATATGTGGTGTGTTTTTGTTGTTTGAATAATATCGGTAAGGTGTAGCCCTGTTTTGATGATGAGTGTAATTTTGGAAAACACCCTCACTCTCGGTTTTGGGATATCAACTTTCGTCGTTGGATTTAATTGTAGCCTCAGCATCAAACAGCTCCATATGCATACCGTTTAATCGGAAAGGAGAGAGAAATAGAGAAAGAAAAGAAGGAGACTCACAGAGCAAGACAGAGAGAGAGAGAGAGAGAGAGATAGAGGGATGTAGAGAGAGAATCATACATATTCTTCGGCGACTAATTGGCTTAACACCGAATAACGTTGGAGAAATTTTGGAAATTGTGTGTATTTGTGTTTGGTGTTTTAGGCGATTAGTCATTTGAAAGTTGGCCGGTGCGATTGTTTCACCGTCGTCTCGTATTCAATTTCAAACGGCTTAAGCATGTTCAGAAGAAATGTTGTCATGGTGCATCGCATTTAATCGAAATTCCAGCCGTTTGTGCTCCCGTTTTGTCTGCTGCAACAGACGAAAACATGCATCTCTCTCTTGATCGCTCTTTTCTTCTCTTCCACCCTGACACTCGTTTCTTTTGCTCGCGCTCTCTCTCTCTCTCTCTCTCTCATTCGAAATGGGCAAAAACTATGACAAATATGCTGAAAATTCTTGGCAGTTCTTGAAAGGCACAGATGAATTTTTTTTGTTAAAATTCATTTCGACTGAAAATAAAAAGTGAAACAATTGCTTTGAAAGTCGATTCTAAGGAGAATATATTCATGGCTTATGAACAAGCGACACGAATGAAAAAAGCACAAAATTGTTGTATTGTGCAAAATGCATCAATTTGGTGTATCAAAAAAAAAAACGTTCCTAAAATCAGATCAATACAATTAATAAGCATCAAATTTATTGCCATGAACAACGAGCCAGACTTGCGTACGCTCTATGTCTGTCTTTCCCGCTCTGCCGTTTTTATTCTCTCGCTCGCTCACATTGGCAAAAAAGAACACACGATGCACGAGAATCGGTGAGGGAAAAAGTGTGAAATTGAAAGTTTTGAATTACACACGAAACGCAACACCATCGAAAACTCAAATTAGCATTTGTGAGAGAGAGCTCTGATTACATTATGTCGTCGTCGTCGTCGTTGTCGTAAATACCGCTTCATTCACATTCTCACCGAATCTATCGCTCTTGGTGTGCTTGTGCTTGTGTTTGTGTGTCGGGTGTGAATGCGATTACGGACATACCATAAATACGAATATATATTTGAAATCAAAGTGGTGCTCTCTCTCTTCTTTGCCCAAAACGGATTTCATCGCCCTGAAAGAGAGATCTATCGCCGAGATTTCAGTTTGCAAATCATTGTTTAATTCACAACACAACGAATTTCAGTGCTTCGCACCAAAGCGCATTTAAAGCAATAGCAACCGAGAGAGAGAGAGAGAGAGAGAGAGAGAGAGAGAGAGAGAGTACAAAAGAGTAATTTCTGTATAAAAACACACAGACACATTTTTTCGTTTCCAACGAAATATAAAAAATAAAATAAAATACTGCACATTTTTCAATGTAAAAATATGCTGATAATGACATATTTTTCTCGTCATTTAAACTATTTCAGCTTGCATACAAAAAAATATATCAGCAGATCCAGAACGCACAGAGCGAGCGAGAGGGAGAAAGAGAGAGAGAGACTGGCGGGAATAAAATGCGTCAATTGCGATTTGTTTCAATTCTATTTTTCATATGACATCGCAACTGAATGAAGAAAAAAGCGAACGGAAAAATGAAAAACGAATGAAGGAGAGAAAAAAAACACACTGTTATTTGACGCTCATTGTGTTCGTTTTCATTGGGATTCAGTTTGTCTTTTTTACAATATGATTGCTCACTTTTCGGGATGTTAGGTGCGCTGTATGTGCCTTTCCTCTCACCCGAACAGTTGCTCCGTTCTTTCTCTCGTTGTATTGAATAGCGTGCGCGCGAGCAAGCCATTCAATGCTGCTGAGATTTGTTGTAATTCGAAGCCGACAAATATTCCACGGTGAATATTGTGAGCAATGACTGCGATCCTTGTTATAACCTATCAAAGAGAGGAGTGGCCAACGAAAAAACCATATCTCCGAAACCAATTGTTCAAAAACATATCAACAATTTCCAAGCAAAAGAGTGAAAAAAGCGAACATGCCGCTGTTTCAAGCTATCGAGACAATTTTCATGTTTATATTTAATATCGAAACCAAAGTGGAATTGAATTAGACGAAGAAACCGAGGAGGGGAGAGAAAAAATGATTGTGCGATTGAATCATCGCCTTTGGGGTGGGTTTTTATCAGCTCAAAATCATCAAATTATGGTCGTGGAAGTGGTGTTCTAAACCTTTAATTAGCCCCGCTGGGAATTGACTGCAACGAATCCATTTAATACCATCATCCACAATCATTTTTAGCTCCCAATTTAGCATCGAAAATCGCGGCTAATCAACTAGTTAATAATTATGGGCTCTTTTTTCCCCTCAATTACATTTATATTTCGATGAAAACAAAAACGTTGTTATTATATTTTCGAAAAAAAAAAAAAAAAATACAACAAACCCGGCCATTTGTTAGGAGAAACACAAAAAAGCAACAGAAGTAACAACAACAAAAAAAAAACAGGCAGCAGTAACAGCAGCAACAACAGTGCGACATTTTGATTTACGGCGCAGAACGGTAGGGAAAAAAAAGCGCGACGAGAAGGATTGTTTGGCGTTCGGTATCAAATCGCGTTCTATTGACCGATGAAAATGCAAGTGCAGCATTGTTTCAAAGGGAAATGGGAAAAAATGAAAAAATTCATTCACATAACACCAGAAAACGTAAACACAGCATATATTATATTACATTGTTTTGTTTGTTGTTCGTCTCTATTTGCTCGTTTCAAGTTGACACGTTAGTGTTTCGCTTGTTTCACATTTTTTTCCCTTCGCTCCATTTCATATTCTGGCTGATGTAAGAGTCATATTTGCACACACACACACACACACACACACACACACACACACACACACACAC